TAGTCATTCAGTGCCAGCACTGTGCCATCAGATGGACCTCGGGAACATTTCTTCTTCCTTGAATTGGGTTGATTAGTCTGAACAGCACAAACAATCTTCGGAGAGCACATGTTAGGCTCTTCCCTGCATGGGATCTGATTCTCTGCTGAGAATGCCTAAGCATAAACTGGTCTTGCTACTGCCTCCTGTCTTCCATTCTTGCCTAGAGGGCTTGTAATTACAAGTTGGGTGTAATTTTCTGCCCTCCCTCTGTGTTTTTTTCCCTTCCCCCAGCCTTTCCCTGAAAGCTACCCAGCAGGGCCAGCCTTCACAATGCTTTGTGAAGTGTGGCTCGGCACTTGATTAATATTCTGTTCTCAGTTGGAATCTTCTGCCCCACTTTTCTGCCATTGTGAATTCTCTCTCTCTACTTCATGCAACCGTTGTTGTGTGTGCTTTGTGTTTACAGACAATTAATCATGTACTGCAGAATGCAAAATATAATTAGGAACAAAACAGTGTAATACTTTGTTAATTCACTATCTTGTTGGATAAATGCAGTGACAAAATCTCTGCTAATATTCTGTGCCAGTATGGCATCTCTGGTAAAAGGCTTCTGTCATGATTATTATGTATTTTTGTATGTATATCCAACTACTGAGGAAATGTGGACATCCTGCAAAAGTTTAAGAGTTCAGATAATTTCCATTATACCCCCTTGAACAGATGTGGGTTTCAAATTTAAGAGAATACATTCTTTGAAGATCTAAATACAGCATTTTTTCATGAATGCACTTTAATCCTTTTTTTCCCCCACAAAAATTTAGTTATTACTAACTGTTTTTAACTCCTTTACTTAAAACTAATGTAGGCTGTTGTTTTTGTGAACAGAAATTTGATAGTCAGTATCACTGATGAAACATTCTCAGAACATGAAATTATAACTCTTGGGCGCTATTACGGTGTGAGAGATGAATATGAAATGGACCTCCACTTCCTCCTTGCAGTGGCTCAAGAACAACTAAAGAAAAACAGCTTTGAGAATTTTGAACAGCTGTCTGCAGTGCTTATATACAATGACCGTGAAAAGTAAGTTTCCTCTACTTATCGTAAGCTGTTATTTGGGAAGCTCTGCTTGTAAACCTACCTACTTTCTGTTTGTTGCTGAGCAAATGATACATTGTGGCCAAATAATATTATTTGGACTGTTAAGCCTCTCTCAGCACTTGACAGTAGACAAGAAAAGGATAGCCTCTTTTCATAAAAAAAGGATAGTCTCTTTTCATTTTGTTTTATTATAGCTGCTGTACTGAACATTCTGTGTCATAATCAGATGACTGTTCACAGGCAAAACACCATATTTTAAATCTAAGAGGAAAAATAGTGAACTAAGGGGAAAAGGAAGGATTTGTAGCTGATTCTTTATATAACTTATTTGCCCTTTTTTATTCTCTGATGTCACAGATAAAGAATCACAGAGAATCACTGAAGACCTCAGTGTGGGGGAGACAGGCTACCATGTGCACTTCAAGTTTCTCAGCTTTGTAAAAGTGGAATTTCATAAAACCTTGTTTTCTTGACCTCTATCCTGATATTCCTCATGTGTTTACCTATTTACAGCAACATTCACTTGAAGTAAATCTGGACAATACTGAATGTACAATTCTCCCCCTCTCTTTCTCTTTGTGTAGATGTGGAGTGCTGCCCCGTGAGGTGTGCAGGACTGTTTGCAAGTCCTTTAAGTTGCCACTGGCTGATGACAATCTGCAAGCTTTACTGACTATGTAAGTTAGTGGCAGATAGTATGACCTGCATGCATGGGTGCAAATCAATGCTAAATATCTACTGCAGACGCAGTTCTTAAGAATTTGCCATTTATATGCTACTAATCATTTCATGATGTTGATTTTGTCCCTATACACATGCAGACTTTCCTATGAAGTAGACAGCATCAGTAGTAAATAAAAGTGGTTTGCTACTCCTATTAATCTCACCTGATACATATTTTATTGTAAAGGAGTGTTGGCATGGTTTTGGTATTTTTCCATAGTATGTTTAATTGTTTTGAGACAAATTGCTTGGCTAGCTGTGTTAATGGAAACAGAAGTGAAAAGAACTAGTATCCAGTGCACTTGTATTAAAGGCTAGAGCTCAGAATAACCTGTGGTGTTTTGAACACTCATGTCTCGTTGAGTTTGGTTTTCATGGCCAGATTTTCTGGTAATAGGTTTAAATACATGGTCATTGGTCTTTTCTTTCCCTTGTGGGAAATCCTTAAATGTTTTGTCTGTGGCTTCATACTGTGTTAAAAGCAGGAACAGGTCTTGTCTTCTGTCATGTTTAAATGTTTTCAGGTAGATACACTTATTGATTTCAGGAGGAATTGTAAAGTAAGCATCTGAATTTATCAAATAATGAAAAGACGTGTCAGGCAGAAATGTGGAATCCATTTTAATAAAGCATCTTCGTACTGCAAGCAAGACTTCCCACTTAAATCAGTATCAACAAGACTGCTTTAAGAAGCCTAAGGGTCATTTTTTGATAAAGCCCCTGTTTCCAGCACAAAAACTTTCAGAGTAGTTTTCTGCAGTAGCCAGACAGACAACTTTGGCAATTTTTTGTCCATTTATCACTTCTGACAGGTTACAAGCATTAATCATCAGAAGCATGTCTGAATTTTAGCATTAATCTAAAACTAATTTTTCAGAACTCCCACTAAGCTGCCCAACACAAAAACTGCTGGAAGACAAACTGAAACCCTGTACTAGACAAGAGGTTCTCATAGTTTCCACTTCCCGAAGTCTGAAATTGAATAGATGCACAGACAAGGGGTTGGAAGTTTTCCTTTTTGTACTAACAATGCTGATCAAAAACAGATAAGCCTGATACATCATAGGCTCCAGAGATGTGTTTATTGTTTGTGAATTTATACCAGGGAAAGCTTTTGTGAGATGAACCTTTTCTCTTCTGAAGAGTCTCAGAGCAGGCAGTTTAAAAGAAAAAACCCAGTACACTGTAATAAAAATATAGAGATAAGCTTAGATGACAAGGAGGAGACTAAGGGCTGGATTTCACCCAGCTTTAGGCAGGTACCCTGAATTAGGATTCGGACATGGCAGGTACTTTCTGTAGGCGATGGAAAAGGAGAGAGTTACCTCCTCAGCCTGTATAAGAGCTGAATTTCTAAATTGCCATCAATTTTCTTTTGTTCTTTCTAAAGGGGCTGTGGCCAGCCTGCCTTGCAGATTTCTGTATGAGAAAGGTAAATGGTGTGAAGCTGGGCCTCAGAAATCAGTGTGAGAGGTACTTCATATGATAGAGTGCTATGTGTAATGCCAGTTCTAAGTTACAATATCAGCTTCTTCAAAAGATGGCAGTTTATGTGGTGAGTCACTGCACTGCAGACAAGAAAGAAGATTGTCACATTTTCAGTAGTATGTGCAGTTGGCACTGCTTGGTAAGTTTATTGTTTCATGGGGGTGCAGAGTCAGGGAAAGATTTTTTTGAAGTCTATTTAGTAGGAGTAAGTTTCCAGTAATCTGGAAGTTGAAGGCTAGAGTTGGCTGAATGAGATTTAGACTTTTTCTCTTAGTTTTGTCTTGCTTCTTATAGTTTTCTTTGAGACTGGACAATCATGAAACAGGCAGGTTTATTGTTAATGAAGAATAGTCTCACTCCTGAGGAGTATGCAGTTCAGTATGGGCAAAGTTTGTCAACAATAATCTTCCCCTGTTTTTGGGGGGTTTTTTTGTTTTGTTTTGTTTTTTTTCTTTTTATGAGGAAGCCTGTAATTTTGTCACTGATATTTCTGAAGGAAGTGGTGGTGATGTACAGCGTGTATCTGTATTTATGAAGAAAGAAAGTGGTACAATAAAAGTTGTTGGACTGATTCCCACAAAATCAATATATATAGCTAATGCACTAGCTGGACCCTGTTCAGCTATAAAATGACACTAGACAATGTGATGAGATAATAGTTGAAGAATGAAGCTATTTGTTTATTCAGCTTTTCTATCTGAGAGTAGGTGGCAAAGACTTTTTATGTAGGACTTAATGATTCTATTTTTCCATTTTGAAAGGTAATACTCTTAAACTATTTATTATTTACATTTGTAAATTATACTGCAATGATTTGTCACTTATTAAAAGCATGGGAGGGGACTAGAAGTTACTGTCTATTTTTGTGGTCGCCTCCAGATGACCCAAGACTTTGTTTATTGTACTGAAAGACCATTCAGTTTCCACAGAGTACAGGGAGAATTAGCACAAAGAGTGAGGTTTCATTAGACCCTTTCAAATTGTCTGTCTAGAGTAAATTTATATTTTTAATTGTGGGATGGTGAAATAGTAGGATTTAGGTACCCAAGAATTTGTCCATTTTTCCAGTTTAACTTGCTGGCTTATTAAAAAGTATTTCCTTTCTCCATCAGCATTTTCTCACTTAGTTTTTTAATCACAGAACAATACAGACTTTTAATCACAATGTATTAAGCAATGCAGATGGTACACAATTGTTTCTACCAGGAAACTACAGTAGTCATTATAAACATTTCCTTAAATTTAGGCAGGCATAATGAACAATTATAGTTTGTTTTATAAATAAATGTTGCTAAAGTGCTTAAGTAATGAATCTAGGGTTTTTTTTCTGTTATTTTTATTTGCTGCAATGCTAAATGTATGCTAATAAGGACTTAAAAAGGTGCAGTCCTTCCCCAGAGGGTATATAAACAACTGGCAGATAAGGAAAGAAAAAATGGAGGGGAGAATGGATGCCAAGTTTACAAGTATTACATGTTGATTGTTCCACGTTAGTTTTGTTCTTAAGCATATGTCCCTATTTTTAAAAATTTGTCCTTTAATTTGTGTTAAAAGCAGCTGTGTAGTTCTTCACTTCTCTACAGTATCAGGGTGAGCTTGTTGGACTCTGGAGGGGGGCTTGTTGTTTTGAAAGAGTTAATCCCTAGTGTCTCAGGTAGCAGTGCCTGATGGCAATGGGCCTCCTACATGTTCATCTCAATTCTCAAGTCCCTAATAGGCCAGGGCAGGCCACTCCTGCATGCTCAGCTTTTCCCTGGTTTGCGGCTGGGTAATGATTTTTTACCTAATTAACTATCTGTAATGTTTTTTTTAGGGCTGACCTATTTATTTCAGTAAGGAAACCCTGTTTTCCTGCTACAGCAAGTGTCCTGGTAGCAGTAGCAAGATTGGAAATGGTCACAAGATTGTTCTCCTGCACTCTGTCTTCTGCTCATTACCTTTGATACCTGAGACCCCGTATGCCATTTGTGATGAAAAACCTTTCTAGCATTAAAATTTGGATCTCTTAAGATAAATTATTTGTGTTATTCAGTATGCTGAGGAACTGATGGTTCAATTTACAGTTGTTCAAGGGATGAATAAATGTATACACAAGACAGTAGCCATTGCTTAATTCATACTGATCAGCTGCATAGACTTGTCTATGCTTGCTGTTTTAAATCTTTTCATATGAGCAGTTTATGACAATCTAGATATATACCTGTGTTACACAGACACTATCAAACAGGCTGAGGAATCTCAACATTTTTTCTAAGGTTAAAGCAGCATGATGCTTCTCCTCTATTATTAGCAGATTAACTTCTTAATAAATGTTGTTTAAAACTAAGGAATTAAAAAAGTCTCTTCATGTACATTAGCTTTGCACATAAATGTTTGGGTTACAGATGGGAAAGAAAAAATATTTGTAAGTAGCCTTTACTCACCAAACCATCCTCAGGAATGGTCATAATGTGATTTGACCGGATTTTTCACATATCTGGAGTATTTAATTGTGAATATATTTTTAGAAGCAGAAATGTATGACGATTTCTGTAATGTCAAAGAAAAACAAAAGCTCTGCAAACTATGATAGGGATGGGGAAGCTACTTTCATAGTCTAGTATTACATGCATTGGTGAAGTCATAGGGCATGGTTTCAAGAGGTCTTTGTTGCATTGTCTTGATAAGACAAATCTAATTTCCTTTCCTGAAGAGCACTGTCAGTTTCAGTCGTGTTAACTCCAGCCACTGAAATGTATGACATCTCTGTCCTAATAATGCATAAATTGATAACATCTCAGTCCATCTGGGTGCTCTGTGCCAAACTGCAAGTGTGTGCATTTAGTAGATTGATACAATAAGTCACAGCAGGAAAGAGATCTAAACAGTAGATTTTTTTTTTCTTTCTGGATTATTCTAGAGTAATATTTTAAGCCGCTTTCTGTAGCTATTTAAATATGGGATTTAGGAATCCCATTTCCTCTGCCGATGTTAAAATCTTTGGTTGTAGTTAACTTCATGGCAATGTTGTCATCACAGTTTGCTAGTGCTGTCACATCAAAGGACTGTTCTCCGTTTTAGGGTTTGTCAAAGCAGAAGCAATGCTTTCCCAGACTTCATTGCCTCAACATAAGTAATTACACACTTTCACTTGTACTATTTAAAAATCCTACTTATACAGCTCTACATCTTGGCAGTAGACTTAATCTTTTGACTTTTCACAATGAGCAAAATATAAATACATATAAAGTAAAAGAAAAAATATATAGTGATAGTTCTGAAATTCAAAATCTGTGTGCCATAGGTTTTTTCCAAGAGGTATAAGCTTTTTTTTATTGTCTTATTGCTTTTAGTGCTAAACTCCTTTCTTTTCCCAATTGGCACCTGCAAAAAAAACCTGTAACAAACATGAACCCCCTAGAAGTGGGAATGATCATTTTCTTGTGTATTGGATATAGTCCCCAAAAGTAAGGCCTTATGAAAATGTTAACTTGCTGTGAACTATTATAAAGAAGCAAGCTATCATAGGAGGTTTTCTTATGGCAATATTTCAGGCTCCTCTTTAATACTAGTAACAGTAGCATTCTTTTCTGACTTTGCTTTCATCTTCAGCATAACTCACTGTACTTAACATACCAGTTTATCGCTAGCATCTCAGTTTATGGCTTTCAATATATTTTATTATTGTCTCTCCTGCTGACTATTAAATGAAAGGTGTGGGGGGAGGAGAAGGAGGGGATGAGTTGCAGTTTATTGCAGTTTATTTTTGTCACTAGATTTATTTCTCCTGTTCTCCCGTATTGTTTTCTCAGTTTGTGCTGTAAATTCTCCCTTAGAGTACCTTCATGCTTAATTTTTACCAGAACCCTCTGCAGTGATTGAAGGCTTTTGAGGCCCATGTTTTGTGCAATACTATTTCTTTAAGAACATAATAAAAGTATTTTCTAAAAGACTTGTTTCCTGGAGATGCTCTTGCCCCTGTGTAGTAGTATTTGTCTCACCAGATTACAGGGTAGAATTGTTTAACCTGATGTTTCCCACCAAAGAATAGGTTGCTAGTTGTATATGTCTCTCCATGGACCCCAGCAGAGCACAGACACTTCCAGGGTGTGCCTATATGCCTAAACGAGGTCCTGTTAGGTAGTGTTAGGTGAAACAGATGTCATTCACAGAAGCTGCTAGTACAGTATTTATAGCAGAGCAGTTAAGCTCCTCATTTCAAGAATGATATGCATAGTACCTTCAACTTCAACTTGTGGATACTTTTCAAGCACTTGAGTAGTTCAACTGAATAACAGTGGTTCCGAAGTGCCTGAAACACCAAAGTGTTTTGCTGAATTGAGGACTTTTTGGATGAAGCTGCTTCATCCAAATGAATGGCAGAAGGATGACATGGCATACAAATCTGCTCCCACGTGGTTTATTAGTGCAGGTTAATGATTTTAGAAATTTGAGGGAGGGAGATAGTATGTTCCCCATGTACCTGTAGACCTTAGCTGTCAGCATATACATCTTCATGCAGTTAGAGGACCCTCATAACTGACACAAATGTTTATTTATTCCATAGTAATAAAGAACAATGACATAAAACAACTACCAAATGAAAAGGGTTGTGATTTTTAAATCTAGCTATTATTTGATAGGTTAGAGAGCTGTGTGTTTGTCAATTGTAAATTGATCACAAGGTGTGTAGAAACAGTATTTTTGAAGGATTGCTTACTTTCAGGAAAGGATTGGAGAAGCCATATAAAGCAAGTCAGTTGTGTTATAGAACAGCTCTCTTGTATCATTCTACCTATCAAGCTGTCATGCTATCTATCAAGCTGGTGAAGGGTCTAGAGAACAAGTCTTATGAGGAGTGGCTGAGGGAACTGGGGTTGTCTAGCCTGGAGAAAGGAGGCTGAGTTGTAGAGGCTTATCGCTCTCTACAACTGCTCGAAAGGAAGTTGTAGTAATATGAGTGTAGGTCTCTTCTCCCAAGTAACAAGTGATAGGATGAGAGGAAATGGCCTCAAGTTGCACCAGGGGAGGTTTAGATTGGATATCAGGAAATATTTCTTCACTGAAAGGCTGGGCAAACGTTGGAACCGGCTGCCCAGGGAAGTGGTTGAGTTGCCATCCCTGGAGGTATTTAAAAAAACATGTAGACATGGCGTTTAGGGACCTGGTTTAGTGGTGGGCTTGGCAGTGTTAGGGTTACAGTTAGGCTTGATGATCTTTAAGGGCTTTTCCAACCTAAATCATTCTATGTTTCTACCTGTTTCTTTTCTACACAAAGGAGTCATACACTGATCATCCCAACTTTATGTTTCTCACCGATTGTGAGATGCCTGTGTTGAAAAAGGTTGGGCAATGCTTTGAAAGTAAAATGAAATGAGTTGAAATTGAATAAACCTTAAAGAAGTTGAATCATACTATGAGAGTCAATAGTAAGTTGTAAGTATATGGAACAGAGTGTATGATATAGAAGTCCTGATAGTTTGGTAATGTCTTCTGTACTCGTGCCAGTGCTTGATTATAAAGAAGTAAAAAATTATTATCCAAAAGGTAATGTATTAGTATGCTGTAGATAACATGATACAACTTTGTTAAGAATTTCCTTTAACCTTGAATCATTGTATGGTTATTCTGCTTAGGTGTGAAGATGACCATAAGCAGGTGGAATATAAAAAGTTTGTGGATGGCCTGAACTGGAGACAGAATCCAATCCCTGCTTTACAGACGATAAAAGTTCCTCTCAAGGTAAAATTGGTGTATCTGAGCAGAGGAACAGTACAGGACATTGATATAATTTGTCCAACTTTAACATGAGTGCTTTATCCTATGGGGACCACAACAGTTTTAATTTTTGTGTATTTGTGCCTGGTGTTTCAAGTAATTAATTTTTTTCTGGGAGGTTTAGAATGAAGCAGGGAAGTCAAACAGGGACAAGGAGCTCTATAACATTCCCGTGCCTAATAGGTGTCACATCTCTGTGACATTTTTCTAGAAGTAAAAAAAAGGGGAAACAGGTGTATTTGTCCATGAACAATGGGCATGAATACCGCTTCACCGACAAATGTCGTCACATGTCAAACCGTCTGTTCGCTTGCTGAGATAGTCAGGAAGTAATTTAAACTCCACTGACACTGCGGAAAATAGCTATGTATTCTTTATAACTCCATAGAAACTTGTACATAATACACCACATCAGCAGTAGGCGTACAGAAAGAGCAGCCTGCTGCTTAGGGTAAATAAAAATGTGGTATCAACAAGCTGCAGAGATTAGTATGATCTTGCATCTTGTGCTGAACGGAACATTTTAAAATAGATGGTGCATAAGGCAATTGTGCTGGTTTTTAAAAACTTTGTAACAGATAAATCCGAAGCCCTTCTGACAACACATAGTTTTGCTGTTCTGACCTAGCTTGCTCTACTTGTACAGAATTAAAGCATTCCTTTAAATTCAAGTTCCATGGTGACATAGTTTAAACTGATATTCCTCAAGTACTGTGCTATTAACTTGACTCCTCTCTCTTGCTTGCCTTACCAGCTCTTTCTTCTGTAGCATCTCAAACTGTTGGTGATGTCTAATGAGGGCCCAGTGCTCCTGGTTTGCTCTGCTTTCCATGGTGGTTTATTTTTCACTTTGTCATTGAGAAGAATTTTTCCATCTTGTACAGATAAAATCAAAGCCCTTCCATGTGTTTTATAGAGCAGTCTTGTGATTCAAAATGTGCATTAGGTTTTGTTCAGTGGGTATTTTGTTCTTACAGAAGAATTCCGCACCTAAGTTATAACTCAATATTTAAACAGTGACTGCTCTCAGGAGATTGTGTCAGGATAAGGGGCCCCATAAGCCTCAATACCACAGAAACAAAAAGAAGGTCAGAGCCTGTGTCTGGAGGTTTTTTGCCTTGAAGATGGTGCTAAGCTCTATACCAAAAAGCAAGGGTGAAAGAAGCAGAGACACAGATATGCTTAGTGTTGAATGTGTTTGACTGTTTTTTTCCCCTCACAGCTGCATGGCTTATCTAGCCATTGAGCATGACCTGATTTCTGGCAGGTGAGGGAAGGAGATGGCTCCTACAGGGTGAAGGTGGGGTGCAAGCAGCAGTGGAACTAAGAGGCAGCCTTCATGAGTGGAAGGTGTGGAGGAAAAGGCAGTTGTAAAACAAGCGGGAGGTTGAAGTGGACATTTGTGGTGAAACATATGTTCTGATCAGCGTAAGAGATGAGGATTTGTTTGGGTATGAAGAAGATGTTATCTTCACTTGGAGGACAGCCAGTGGATGGGCTTTCTGGGCGTGGCTGATGCCTAAGAGCCTCAGTTGAGAATAGTACATGAAGTCATGGGAGGAAGGTTACAGCTGAAATAAAAAGGGAAGAAAGAGTAACAATAGAAATTATAATCAGCGATCATCATGCTGGGATAATCAGTTCCTTATCAGCTCCAAAGCCTTGCTGTAACTGTCATACTGATATAGAGCACTGTTTTCAATGAACTGCACCCAAATTGGTGCCAGTATAGTTTACTCAGTTTTACTGACTTTATTATTTTGTTAGTTAGCTGCAACACCCAGGCTATCTTTGGTACAGTACAAGAATATTTTAATGAAGAGATCAATACAAAATGGAAAAAAATCAGAGAAAGGAAGGGATTTAAATTGTGTTCAACTTTAGAATCCAATTGTCATTCTGTTCGTGACACACCGTGAATTAAAAGCAATATTTTGGGGCTACAGTATCTGTATTTATCAGATAGATTTCAGCAACAGAGTTGTGCTTGTTTAGCTGACTTTTTTCTTCTTTCTCTCTATATGATTATTTTGTATGATTCTTGGTGTTGAGACATAGATGGATTGCAAGACTTTCAAGTATAATGCCGTCCCTGGAGGCATTCAAGGCCAGGCTGGATGGGGCCCTGGGCAGCCTGGTTTAGTGGTTGGCAACCCTGCCCACAGCAGGGGGTTGAAACTAGATGATCTTTAAGGTCCTTTTCAACCCAGGCCATTCTATGATTCTATAAGTGTCTTAATGGAGAAAATATAGCATTATTTAATTTGAAAATATCTGCCAAAGGGCTAATGATAGAAAATATTTTTAATAAAATATTCTGCAAGATTGATTAGAATGTGCATGTAGTAATCTTTTAAGAGGATGTGCTAGATAAAGATCCACTTTTTCTCAGATTTGTATGTGGAAATGAAGCAGCTCATTCAATCTTATGTTGACCGGCTTTTAATTATTCTTGTTTTCAGTATTATATTCTAAGATATTCTCTGGGTTACTAATTTCAGAATGAAGATGACCGGAGTGGACAACCACCATCCCTTCCTGTGAAAGGGATCAAATACTTACCTCTTCTGGATGATCTGTTTGGCAACGAAGAATAATCTGATCTGTGCAAGGCACCGCTATTGGATTAGTGTTTCAGCTCCAAAGTTTACTTAGACAGATACTGAAAACATTCCATGTAAAACAAACAAAAAAATCAGACATAGGTGTTATTGCATTTAATTTCTTATTCCAACACAGATGTGTACTTTGTGTGTTTTTGTAACTCTTTCTAATTCAACAGTGGTCTTTCATACTTATACAAGCATAATTAAAACTGTATCCTCTAATCTTTGTGTCTGGTTATATGGAAAATGTACAAGTATTGAGAAACCTTTGGGTCAAACAGAGCAAAATCTTGCTTTGTTATGCAAGGTTTTAGCACAGTATGTAGTTGCTCTGGTATCAGAGATAAATATAGCCTTCCATTGTAGAAGTAAATATTTTGCGAGCATGGCATGGAAGCTATCAGTTCTTGCTTTTTTGTTTTAAATGTGACTCAGATTAGTAGCCACCTGTGGCTGAGACATGTATGAAGAGAAGGTGCTTCAGTAAAATTTTAGTGTGCAGCTTTCTCACAGTAGCACTGTACTTGCCCTTTGAAAATTAATTGGTGCCTTTCTCTTTGCTCGAAATCGCAATAACTAAACGGAGTTCCTGTTAGTGTTTTTGTATCTCTTTAAGCCTATGCCAGCTCAAAGCCATGACTAGATCTAAACTTACTGCATGCTTTTGTGAGAGAAGTAATTACCCCAGTTTAAAGAATGGAAGAGCTGAGATGAAGGGGGGAACTGACTCATCCATGGTGATTGGAAAGAGGTGTGAACCAGCACATCTCTGCGGTGGCTGGGAGATTCACACATTCAGTATACTGAGAACCCTGTGCTTTCTGTAATCTGAAATTATAGTTCAAGGAGGAAGGGTTTCATTTAGAAGGATGAGGGTTTGATGTATCTAAATCCCCAAACTGAGGGAAAGTCAATAGTTCAAAGAATAACTTAATTCAGTAAATCTGTATCTGTTGGGAAACTTGGAGATCCCTTTTAAAATTGTGATCCATTTAAAAATACCTTGCTGCACTTTTGCATGATAGTGCAAATGAAGTTTCTGATTGTCTGTCTTCTCTCTAATGCCACCCAGCTCCTGAGGAGAAATTATTTTCCCTCAATATGGCAAAATATGAAGCTTTTGGCAGCTTTTTAGCCTTTTTGTCAGCAAAAAAAGGACTTGAGGCAAGGCATAGTTGTGTGTGTTGCTGCTACTTAGGAAGATGTTTGCAATAAAATGGGTAAGTGATGGTCTGTGTCCAGGGAGTCAAAAAGAAAACTGTGAAAACTTGTTAAAGTGCTCCAAGTTGTAGACAAGACCATGTACTGCTTTTTGATCCAAAAGAGGAAAATTGGTTTTACCTGACAAGAATAATGCGTGGTTATGGGGATAGTGTCAGGAGCCAAAACAGTAATAACTTGCGTTTGAAGCCAGTTTGATGAAAGCTGAAGATTTTTAAAACATGCCACCAAGACTGAGCTTGACACTTTAAATGAATGCAGTTGCCCTTGTAAATTTTTAATGTTCCCCAGACTTCAGAAGGGTATGTTTCAGATGTGGAAATTTGTATAGCTGAGGGTTTTTGACTCTGAACATTTAGAACTTCCCAAGTAGTTTTTAGAGACGGAAAATTTGCTTTAGTTTGTGTTCCTTTAGGACAAAGAGCCTCTTTTCAGAAAAAAAAATGGTACAAGAAATATAATTTCTTATAATTTCATGTGAAACCCTGTGTATAGGTTTGGTCAGTCTTGGTCTGGTTTGGTCTGGTCATGGTCAAGAAAGGTGACTGTTGAACTGGAACCAGTGCAGAGAAGAACTAGAAAGGTGACCAAGAGAATGGCGATAAGAAAGGAGACTAAAGGAGCTTGGCTTATTTAGTGAAATAAAATTAAGTCTCAGAGACAATATGACTGCTCTCTGTAAATACATTATAGCCAGGTGAGAAAAAGAATCTGTTTCGGTTAAGAACATGGGTAGTCTAAGAACAAATAGGTATAATTTGCCACAAATAAATTTAAACTAGAAAACAAAAGGTGGTTTCTCACTTCTGAAACAATGAGAGGCTCAAACAGCCTTCCAAGACTAAAGTACTCAGTTTTAAAGTTGAGATGAGTAATCTGATGGCAGTAATTGTAGGATGTTTATTAACACCCTTCTGAATTATTATTCTCACTTCTCTTTCTCCTCTTTTCCCATGCATCTTGCATAACCCAGATGAGCACAAAAGGATGTCCTAGAGCAGGGCAGACAGAAACTGAAAAATATCTTCAGTGCTTGTCATTGTGCTCACAATGTGTTACACATTTTTTCATCAGGTTTTCTTTTTTACAAGCAGCAACGCTTCCAGAAAGGAAAGCCCTAGCCAATGAACAGTCCAATAATACTCTTTGTATAATGTGACTTACAGCATATGCTGCCCAGAATATTTCAACCTCTCCTCTAATCCTGCCACCAGCTTCTTTCTTTTCACATTGCTGATGAGGGGCCTGAATGAAGACAATACCACAAGATTATGTTTCAAGATGGCAGGAGGCCACAACTTTAAAGCATGCATCGCATAAAGGGTAAGGCAGCCCTCACAGTTGCCATTAATCTCAGCTCTCGATCTCTGTAGGGAAGCCAAAGATATCTTCTTTCCGCAAGTATCTGTGCTGCCCACAGCAGGAGCGAAGAGATTCACATTACAGTACGGGCTCCCTATCTCACTGCTGGGGTCTGCTGCATGTTCAGTGTTAATTTTTATTTCCTCAGCTTGGCATTTGAGAATGAGAGGCTTCAAGTTCTCTGGAATATCTGCCGCTGCAAGCAAATGGCAGGCTGCAAATGGGAAAGAGGACCAGTCCTTGTGTACCAGTAGTGCACTGGTTATCTCATGGCCTCGCATCAGCTTCTGCTGCTGTCAAGTTCAGAGTGCCTGCTCTGGTCACCAGCAGATGGACCTCCTCAGACAAGGTAGCCACAAGCAGCCATAGACAATCTGTGGACAAAAATGAAGTTCCTCACCTGGCAATATTTTCCCGTGTCCTGCCCATCATACAGGCATCTACTGTATTTTTCTAAGCAGAGTCATTTGTACCAACATCAGACAGATGTTCATAAGCAAAAAGGTGTTGAAGTCATCCTTCTGCTTTTGTCCTTCATGCACTGATATGAGTGCATCCTACTTCTAAGCAGGAAAGGTCTTCACAGAAGAAGTTTGGGCTCAGTTGACTCATGTCTGCTCTCTCTGTCTTGTCCCTTTAGCCCAGGAGACATTCTGCCTCCCAAAGGCACACCTTCTTGTGGGAAAACTGCAGAGATCCCAATTCCACGGTAACCAACTTATTGGATGTTTTCAGTCACTTGGTAGCATTCAGAGAGCAGCAATCCATATAGTACTAATAGTAATTCACTGATCTCTTGATTGCTGGGCCCTTCTATGTGTTCCCTTGGTTTGAGACATGGAACAAATCATTAGAAGAATTTTCCAGTTTTTTAACATCTTCTAGTCATGCATAGGTTATTCAGTGACATGGAGGGAAATGGAGGGAAACAGTAGTTCTTTAAGCAATAATGTCCTGTACCCTCAGTAACTTAGTTTCATATTTACTCACAGCATTTCTTCCTCTTTGAGGTGGATTAGCCAGCAAGCCCCAGTACAGTGAGAAAGACAAACCTAGCAACATGTCTGTGAAAAAAATTACAATATCAGGAGGAAAAAAATACCACACTCTGAGCTCAGTCAGATTTTTAAAATTATTTTGAGTTTTTAGGAGGAACTATAGGTAACATTTGAGAGAAAACTATCCTGAAAGAAGACTTCTTAAAGTTACTGTTTGCTCTGAATTAATTTCTCATTGTTTATTTAGGGTGGTGACTCAAACTCAGTCAGAAGTAGCACTCATGTTTTAGGCAATGGTCAAACAAGCCAGATAGGGCTGTGTGGGGAAGACTGTGTTCCTGCCAGTTTTCGATGTAAAGTTGAAATCATTGAGGGAACATAACCAAGACGAGGAAGGAAGTTACTATAGATATATTAATGTTATAGATTATACAGTTGGCCATTTCTAAATCATCTGGAAGTTTCTTCTGGTGTGTTTTACACACAAATGAACTAGCTGTCCTCATATGCCCTTCACCCTAGCCATCTGTCCTCTTTGCTCTCCTCTTTCGTCGGGCTAGTTTCATATTAAGAGCTATGAACAAAGAGAAGTGAAGGAGCTGATTCATAAATTTCTCCGAAATCTGATGCAGATCCCTGGCAAGCAGCATGGTGGTATGACCTGTAACAGCAAAAGTTCGTTGTATCACCTAACAGTACTTGAGAGAGCTCCCACTTTCAAAGGCAAATCTGTCAGAAGATTGGCATTGTCTTGAAAGACAAGAGGAAGACCTTTTACAGAGCTGCTCTGGCACAGGTGGGAGATGCAGCCTCCTCTAAATTAGTATAAGATTTATGGAGGAAACTTATGTCTGTTGCCTTCAGATGTCTACAGTGCAGATGTCTGCACCTCCACTAGCTCTCTGGATCCCTTACTTGCTGATGGAAGGGTGAGGGGCACCTTTAGGGAGTGACTAGCCTACAGGAATATCTGCAGGAGGCCTGTTGTCCGTACACTGCCACTGTACTGGCTGTGAAGGGATTTAAAACAGTCAGCTAAATGTAGATGTTTGCATTGCTGTCAGGTGAGATGAATCCCACCCTTGGGGTCCATCAGCATTGCTAGAGGAGCACTGAAGTCAAGCATGGTGACTGCTTGCCTGCTCCCCACCCTTGCTGCAGGTTGCAGCCACACCGCAGTGAGTACAGTATGGGGCTGAGCTTCAGCCAGCTGTGGGTAGTTTGCGTTGAGCTGGGCAGACTGGGCAGAGGAGAGCGTGAGTCCCCACTACGTGCTGAATGCATATGTGATCTCTCTCATGGGGTATTCTGGAGCTTTGGCTGAGGAGAGATTCGGCGCCATGCTTAGCAGGTGGACCTGACTGTCCTCAACGAGCTTGAATCAGGCTCTGGCCAGTGGATCTTGGTCAA